TGCAGCAGCCCTGCCCTCAGCCAGCTCCACACTTACTGTTCTGACAAAACAAACAGCAATATGCTCTCTAAGTTGTTCCTTTGAAATGTACAAAGTTCTGCAAGTAAGTTAGCTACTTACTCAAAATTACAGCCCAGGTAATGTATCGTCCGGTTGGATGTACCTGGCAAAATTAGTTGTCTATTACTGAGGCAAATTTATATTAGACTTACCAAGTAATAGATCAGGACTTGATTAATTTGAATTCGTACGAACCAGAGGTAGATTTTTAAGTGAATGAAGAATCCTTCTTAATTCACTGTTTGGTCTCTCTACCACTTTTGCCTTTTGGAGATGAAGAATACCAGGTTTACAACATTCCTTCTCCTTCTAACAGTTGGAATGGGGAAAAGGGGCTTTTTTCCCAGCTTACATTTTTCTGTCTTGTTCCTTGTGAATGGCTCCTGGACTTCCTATGTGTAAGACCTTGATTTTGATATTATGTTAGGGAAGTGCATTTGCCAAAGTTCTCATGACCTATGTTAAGCTGGTGGTCAAGCTTTGGTGACTGCAGTTTATGTAGGAAAGCTTGCAAAGATCTCAGATGAGCACAGCTGTCTATATTTGAATATATTCATCATGCACTGTTATCACTCATAGAGAAGGAAGTCTTGGGCAACATGATCTGAATGCAGTGTTGGCCCTGCTTTAAGTAGGAGCTTGGATTGTATCACCTGCAGGTCTGAATTCTGGCCTAAATTATTGTACGATGTGGTGAATAAAAAGTTGTTGATAAAGGTTACTAGAAATACAATAATGTTCATGATCCATGAAAAGTTTACTCCTTTTCACAGGAGTGTGACTGGAGAGCTTCTCAAGACTTTTAGAACATGACTGTCTTGAGAACTATAATGTTTTGGAAATGACCTGGGCTGGATGACCTACTGCGTCTTTGCCAACCGTAATTTCTATGAATCTGTAATTTTGAGGTTGACTTCTTGTTGCCCAATTTTACAGTTACTTAATTCCAGTATCAGGCATATTTTAAGAGACCACATTTAGTCATGGTTAGACTGTGGGTTGTTTCTTTTTTTGCATGTGTTATTTTTTAAATCCTTCTGCAGATTGTCAGCACTAATGTATTCTTTCCTATTCTGGTGCCACAAATAATATTTCTAGTCTATGAGGAAAGAAAAGTCTGATTAATCTTTTTGGAATAGATGATAGATTAAAAAATGTTGTTCCCAAAATTGTTGCAATTTGATGTGAAGTGTTAGGCTAGTTCTGCTGTTTATTTACATCAGAAATGCATTTCCATCACCAGAATAAGGGATGAGAAATTGTGTATTTGGTCTGCATTTCCATCACCAGAATAAGGGATGGAATTGAGAAATTGTGTATTTGGTTGTATTTTCAGTGTTGTTATCAATTAAGTTAATAAAGAATTATTTTAATATTTTAAACATTTTTTTTACACCTAAATCCATGTTTACTTGAGGACTATGAAAGATTCCTAGCTAAAAATAGGCTCAGTTAATTTTTTTCTAAACAATTCCTAAAATGTATTTGTGTTCCTGTTCCTTTCTCCTGGCAGAAAGCACCTCTTTCTTTTCATGCAAGAAGAAACATCTTTTTGGAAAGACATCTCCTAGTAAGAGCTCTTGCACTAACAGCCTTTGAAAAGAACACCTCAGCCTTTGAGTTTAAGTGCCTTATGTCAGCATCCCTCAGGACTTAATCCCTGCTTTCTCTCCTAATTTGCTTCCTGCTTGTAATACATGCTAAGTTTGCCCGTTTCATTCTGATTTTTTTTCCAACATCAAACAAAGCATGTAAACAAATTAGGATTTCTTTTTGATGAACCAAAAACTTAGCTTTGTTTTTGAAAACAGAGGTGTGTGTACATGTATTAATATATATTATACATATACAAATAGCAAACAGTCCTTCCTAGCTGGTTGAGAATCACTTAGCCTAGAATTCCTGTGGGATCTCCAAAGAACAGGATTAGCAGTTAGGCATGAAAACACCATTGATACTACTGAGACTTGCTTGGAGTCTATTTCTCTTTTATTCCATTTAAATGATGTGTGGAATAATTCATAGATTAATCATGCTGTTACAGCCATGAAGTGTCTGTGTTAAAATTTGTGGAGTAAGATAATCTTAGGTCAAAATAGTCTTGTGATCATTACCAGATTTATGAAAACTGTATATGTAATGTAATAATAGAGATGGTGGATTCAGTAACAAGGTGGTCTCCATTTTTTTTTTTTTCCTTCTGCCCTACATCCTTTTTCTCTATCAAAAGTTACTTCTGTTTTATGTATACACAGGTTCTTAAAAATTTTCTTGCCTTCCTGGATATCCTCGCTAGTATTTAACACAACTTTTGCCTATATAGGCTTCTGTCCTTCATTGCTTTATGTCAGTGCTGCATTTGATGGTAAATGAAAGTAGTTAATCACTTCTTAGAACATTATTTTTCATATTTTATAGATATTTTTTGTTTGCCTTTTTAAATTAAAAAAGTGGCCTCATTTTAGTGTTCCTTTCCAAAATTGCTTTAATTCCTGTTGCACTCCTCTGAACTTGTTCCAGTTTGTCTTCTTAAAACGCAGTGCTGAGTGTGGAATGTACTTTCTCCACTTGAGGCATAACCGGTTCTGAGACAATGGGAATAATGTTTCTCGCTCTTTGGGGAGAAAATGTGTTGCAGTTGTTTGAAGTAATTCATGAGGTCCTTTGAAGTAACTTTGGGTAGAGCCTGTAGGACCTGTCGATGTGACACATAGTGTATAGATAAAGCACCTATTTGCCTTTCTAAAGCCTCTCTTTCTCCAGCTGACTGGTCTGATTGTAATTGCTTCTTGAATGCTGCATTTTGCAGTACCTATATGTCACCAGTCTGTTTTGGATGGTGTTTAATAGTAGGTAGCGTGAATATGTTGACATTCTCCATTGTTTGTGTATTGCTGTCTGCTTCAGCAGTGATATTCTGTCTATACAACTTCCATTGCTATCACTTGTGTGAGCATGTGTTATTTTTTTTTTGAGTTCTATATTAAAGCTATGAATGTTAATGAAATGTGTTGATTTTTGACTGGTTAAGGTTGACATTGATGGGAAAAATATGCAACTACCTTCTTTCTTTCTTAAAAAATAAAACAGCACAAAAGCCCAACCAACACAAAACCAACGAAACCCCTTGCAGTCCCTAAAAGGATACTTAGTTCGTATACCACATGTGAATATTGGATGATACTCTTTAATTTAACCAAATCTGTCTGCTTACATTGTCATAGTGGTGATTTAAACTAAGTTCATCAATAAGAACTTGGAAATTAATTTGTTAGTTTGGAAGATGTGTGTTTGAATCAAAGTCTTTCTTGGTAATGATTTTCAGCAGTGGATGTAAACTGAATGTGTCCCCTTCGGTCATTCTAATACTTTAATTTTGAGATTTCCTCCAAAACCTTTGAATTCCTCTGTTTCTGAGCATGTGCTTTCACAGTAATAGAAGTGTCTCCAGCCTATAATCTATTTTAACTGAAGTCAATTAACTTTACAAATGTTTTGCTGTTCTGTAGAGACCCTAAATGTTTTTTGAATCGTCCTTCATTCATGTATCAGAATGATTTATTTTTTTGTGATACATATAATACCCTTCTTGAACAGCCATATATATCTTGAATTACTTTCATTAGTAAAAGTAAAGTAAAACTTGTCCTGCATTTTTGTAAAAGGAACTGCAATTTAACTATAAATACATCAAAATGCCACAGAATTCAGGGCTACAGCTCAAAAATGCTGATCAGCGTGTAAAATCTAAATCAGCCCCTCCATGAAACCTAGGGAAGGACCTCTGTGGTAGCAGAAAAATTTCCAGAAATTCACCACAGTCTTTTTCTAAGTTGCAGTTTGTGCTGATGTTGCCAGACAGCTAAGAAGAGATGGGAAAAGCAAGAAATCTTTTTGGATTTAATCACAGTGCTGATTTGGAAAAGCAACTTAACAATGAAAAATATTTTTATATTTTAAATCATAAACACAAAACTATGAAGTACATGGTAGATCGTGATTGTATTAAGTTGGACCGTCTTCATTACTAATGAAGAAAGCTCTTCATATTGGAATCCAATGGTCAGAAATCCTACTTCCTGGACTTTTTCCTTTTGTTTTAAATATAAATCCAGACTAGGTGATTTAGTGTCTTCAGTACTGTTTGTTGAGGTACCGGAGACTTGACTGCTATACTTGAGAGCAATAGAGATAGCTTTTAAAGTACCATCTTTCTGTTTTCCTGTCTTGGAAAGCTTTTTCTACGTTCTTGCTTTCAAAGAAGTTTGACAGTATTGATGGACAGGGCTTATCTTTTCCCTTGAAGATATTAGAATTCCATTGTAAAATACCAAATATTTTCATTTACCCTGATCAATAGAAAAGTGCTTCTTAAGAGAGATCTTGCAGCTCTAGCCCTTGCATCCTCTATGTGAAAAAGTTCTTATTTAGGTCCCCTAATCTTTTGTAGACCTTGCAAATTTGGAAGACTTCAGGTAAGCTGTGAAGATGAGTATTCAGTCTTTCATCCAAGTACTCACTTCTAAATGAGAATGTGATGAGGTTATGAAAAGCACATAGATGACCTAGGTAGCAGTTGTATCCAAGTGATGGTCTCTACTCATCTGCCATGTAACTGAAGTACAAATGTATGAGTCATTTTGTCTTTTGACTGCTAGTTGATCATAAAATCAGCACGTTTCTCTTATGAGGCTAGCCAATGAAATATACCCATTTTCCTGCAGTGTAGAGCATTGTATTACTTCATCCTGATGGGCTTTTAAAGTTTGACCACAGTGACTTGTTCTACCTGAGTCTTACCTTTAAAACTAACACCATACCTTTTGGTTTTACAAAATTTTTATTGTTACTTTGAGTAAAGGGGGTCTAACAATTTTTATGGGGTTTTCTTGTTTGTTTTTAAATCAAGATTTCTGCTACATTCCAGGACCAGTTGAAAGATGGACGATGATGACTTTGGAGGATTTGAGGTATGTTATTTGCATGACTTGACTTAGAAATTTAACTATTTTCAACTGTTTTTATAGGAATTTATAGTATTTTGTAAAATATGTAACAATAATTGTTTTGTGTTTCTAGGCAGCAGAGAGTTATGAATTTGGAAATGGTGAAAAGCAGGCAACATCCCCTGCTATTGCTTGGGCAGCATTTCCTACAGGTATTGATAAAATCACTATAAAAATTCTTAATAATATATTGCTATCCTTCTGTATTCGCTGTAAATATCGGTACCCAGAGGATGTTCATACACAATAAAAGAACAGGCAACAGTGAAAACCTAGCATAAGAATGTTCCCGAGTAATTATTTTGGGAAGCTGCACTTCTCAAAGTTAAATTTTCTTGAGGAATGAAAGAGAAGTATAGTTTATCCAGTTCAAAGGCTGATTGGCATCTCATGGGGAGAAGAAATGGAGCTTCTTCACTCAAAGTATATTCTTTCTGTTGATTATGGAAGGTCTGTTGCAAATGATGGGAAAACATACAAAAAGTAAACTTTAAAATAGGTCTTGAACATGTTGCTTCCTTCATTAGATTTCTTTGTCCTTCATTAGATTTCTTTGTGATAAAGTCTTTTAGTTGCTTTGGGGGGGATGATCTTTTTTACTTAAGCAGTTTTTAAACTTAGAAAATATATTACACATCCTTTATCTCAAGCAGAAGCTGAAACATTATGGAGCTACTTTTATTAATTTATAGAAATGCCTGGTGCCTGTCTGGATTTTAAGAAATGAATAAATGTTCATTGATAGTGGATAAATGTACAATATCATTAGAACTTAAAGATTAAGGAGGTGTTACTGTTTGGCAGTTATTTTTGTTGTGGGAATTTAGTCTAGATTTCATTGCTTTCACAAAAAAACCCCATCACTTTAGCAGCATTAAGGGGAAAAAAAAAACCAACCCACATTTTATTCTTTGGTTGTGAACTGAAGATTTCTGCTTATTATTATATTATGCTGAATAAATTATGCAAACTAATTATAGTTTTAAAAATAAGACAGGGATTTGTCTCAATATGAACTCCCCATAAATCATGTTCTTGAAATGTTTTTTTTATTTCTGGTGCTCCTAGCTTTCATCCATTACAGAATAATTAGTTTTATTTGTGATTGAAATAAAGGAAAACAAACAACAAGAAACTATATTTTCCCAAATAACTTTATTCTTCATCTTGTCACTTTGACTGTTATTCAAAAATACTGCTTACATTCATTAGCATATTTGAATGTGTTTAATTTAATTAAACACCGCACAGCTATATTGGATTTATCTCATGTAGTCTAATTTAAATCTAATAAGGTGGGTAGAATTTAAATGGTTTGTAAGTAACACAGAAGATTTTTGTATGATTTGTAAGTGATGCAGAAGCCTTAGGGTATGTTATACAAAGATATTTTAAGTATTTAAAAATTTAAAAAAAGCTGCATTCAGAATATTTTATTACTGTAAAATCTTCACATGACTTTCATGCAGATGTTGCTGTGAACAAATTAACTTATTTCAAGAGGAAAGTTTTTAATAGGATCAACTGAAATGCTTGTTAGGTATTGACTTGTAAGTTAATGTTTTTAGTAACAGGTATAACTGAATTGTCTGACCAATGTTATTTATACACAAGTTGTTCTTGTCTTACCTTAGAAATTTATCACTCAGGTTTACTGAAAAATGTGAGAAATTCAAATTTATTATGGTGCTATTGAAATGATTTTGATAAATTTGGAGTGTGATACCATTATATACACCCAAGATTCAGTGAACTTTGTGGAGGAGGAGTATGTACTCATCTCAACAATTTCCTGCAAATCTGGTGTTTGTAAGATATAAAAAGTTATAAAACAAAACAGAGAAACCTGTTGCAGTATTTCTCAACATGCAGGAAGAAATCAGAAATTATTGCTAAGGCACCAGTGTTGATTACAGGGAGCAATTTTGGCCTTGAAATTTGTCTTGGACTTCTTACTATCTTTTTGAATGCTGATTTCACTTTTTCAGTAGACTTACAGTATGATAAAATGGTTATTGGTATGTGCAAATAGTCTGTTCTATGCAGTACTTCAAATAAGCAAATGTTTATTAATTGTGGCTTCTGGTTCAGAAAGGGAGAAATATAAGAAATTGTACAGCAGAAATATTATACTGTTCTTTCCCCTTCCACCAGGACAATTACCAGAGAATATGCACCTCTTTCTGTTAGGCGTCTCAAGCAGTGTCACTTAATAGGAAAGCACTGGTTTTATTCTAAAGGGTAAAAGTAATGGAGGTGGAAACAAATACTTCTTACTTAGTGTGATTACATATGTGATGGATTTCCTTTTTTCTTTCCAGCTTGAACATGAGGAAGTGCTAAAAAGAATCACTACTGTATGCCCAATGTCTGGGGATGTTGTTGATTCCCTCATCTTAGAGATGTGAGGGAACTACTCAAACATCAGTGTTTTCTTAGCTTGGATTCAGTAAATACATTCGTAAACTTGAAAAAGAGGAAAATCTATTTCAACAAACAAACAACAAAACACTTTGGAAATAAGTCGTTCTTTGGAAAAATGAGATCTTTCTAAGAACAGTAATTGAGTACCAAGTCTTATGTTTAAGCCTCAGACTTAAGTTTTTGTTTTCAGTTCTGAACTGTATTTAAGTTTTTTTAAGAACTCTAAAATAAATTATGGAATATTCTAGTGCCTTATCACTAGTCCATCTGGTTCCCAGAAGAGATTCAAGGAGGCTGACTGTCTTAAATATTGTAATTATATATATATAATTATATTATTATTGTAAGTCACTGCAGGGGATTTTGCTCTTTGGATTCATAAACTAACTTTTCTGAGGAAAAAGAAAGGAACAGTTATGCTGTTCTCAGAGAATTTCATTTATTGAACATTAATATTTAAATGGAGCTATTTTTTAATACAGTGGCCAAATCTAACTTAATGCTGACTTCAGAGATGTTAGTGGGGGTAACTTGATACACTTTTTTATTTAAGAAAGTAACATTTAAGTATTTTAGACTCCAGAATGGTCCTTGCAACTGTTAAGCAAGATACTTCAATGAAATAAATAGTTATTTGTAAGTCAGTTTTGTTTTGTTTCTTTGTTAGATACTTAGTAGTAGAAATACATTGTTATGCAACTTAAAAAAATAATGTTTTAAAGAACGATGTCAGTTTGCAATTCAGTAAGTGTGTACTGGAATATTGAAGTGCCTACTTTTTTTTTCTTTTATTAGTTTTAGGTTTTTTTTCTTGCACTTCTGTAGGTGTTGTTTTGTGTACCTTTATTCCTGAAAGGAGGATCTCAAAATTTAGCACTGTGCTTGTACATCAACAGATTCTGGTCTTATCTCTGCTTTTCTAAGGTTACGAATAACGTGTCTGTTGCTTATAGTGAAGAGTAGGAATAGGATCTAGGTCTCTACATGCTGTGTCAGTGTTTCATTTTGGCAGGAGTTCTTCTCTGGACATCCAAAGGAGCTCATGTAGTGGAGCAAGTGGAAAAACTAAGCATATGTTCACCAAAGAAGGACTGTTGGCTGAGATGGAGCCTCATGAACCTGTTATGGATTGTTCTAAGTAAAACAAAAGGTGTTTTTTTTTTTTTGTTCCTCTGTGTGTGTTTGTTTTTAAAAAAAGGAGACAAAAAACCCACCAGGGTGAGAGATGCTTTTTCAGTGAAATTCAGACAAAATTCCCATCTGGAAATGGGTTGGAAGTGCAGTCTGAGCAGGTGTTTCGGATTCAAGCTGTGGAAAACCTAAATGATTTTGTTTACGAGTGTTAGGTGAAACCAGATTCATGTCAGCGTTAACTGTGGATGAGGTGGAGATTTTTTTTTAGCTTCATTTTATGAGGAAATGAGGCTTTTGCTATTGCTTTCAGTCCCTGTTCTCCTATTACAGGTTTTGAATATGTTGCTTAGTTTTAGTGAAATCACTTATAGTCTGTTAATTACACTTCTCTTTTTTTTTTTTTTTTTTTTTTTTTAATCAGGGACTGAATAATGATAGACCTGGTGCTTCACCAGAGAAAAGGAAGGTTGAATCAAGTCACTGTGGGTTCTGTAGAAGCTGTCTGGTGTTGATACATATTTGGAGGTTTAGAAGACCTATAGTATATCATCTCCCATGGTCCCAAATGGTAGCTATTGAACTGAAAGAACTAGGGGACAAGAACACAACTGAATGGAAGCCAGCACTAAAGCATGAACATCTTCATTTCACTGTTTTACATGATCTAGGCGACCTCCATTTGGTTAATGGAAATGTAACCAGTTCAGTCCATGAACTGGAGAGCTGTTCAGATATCCAAAAGCTAAATTCAGCTTTTAGGGTGAGCTTGAGTAGCTGCTTTGTGTCCATGAGTTGTACTGACTAAGTCTCTGCTCACGTGTATGCTCACGTGGCCATGTAAGCTTGTATGTCTTAATGTGGAGCAATATCACATTCCCAAGTTCCATTGGTTTGGCTGCTTATAGAGTAACACTTTTCTTTACTTCTATCCTTTGGCCACATATGTTAGAAAAAATGGTTTTTATATGTGACCTCCAGTCTGTATTGATCCAAAGCTATTTTAGTTATTACTTTTTGAAAGAAACATTATTTCTGTACTCACTGGAGTAAAGGTGTATCAGAGGAGCCTTATTTGTTTGTTTATTTATTAACTTCTTTTGGGAATCTTTTCTATGCTTTGTGCCATGTCAACATGCTTACCGTCTGTAAGCAGATCTGGAGGCAGCTCATATAACTTTGAAGCTCTTGATTTACCCTTTGGATTAATTTGGCCAAGTTTTATGTTTGGTCTAATAGTAAGAATTCTCAATGCCTTCATGAATAACAGGACATTCTGCAAATTTTGGGAGAAGATTTCTCTCCTTTTTCTAATATTCTTTCATTAACAATGCACATGTATACAAAGCCTATTTTTCGTGTTTCAACTAAGAATTCAGTATTTCTGATGGTCTTATTTGTGGCACTGAAAGAACAGATGTTTTGAAGTCTATTCAGTGTGAGATGGGGTGATCTCTACTGCTGTGCAGACATCTGCGTGGCTTGAAGCATGCTGTTTTCAGCTGTTGTGTTGAAATGGTTGTTTTCAGTTGTTTCTTTTCATAATACATCTAACTAACTTGACACCCACAAGTGCATAGGCCCCAATGGGATGCAC